TATTTGGGGTTGTGTTTGTTCTTACCAGTGGAGCGCAGGGGGATTATTTTTCTACAGAGATACATCTTTTAATTTGTAATTATCTAGGTAGCTGTCAACTACACATTGAGATATCTCCTTATACATAATGCACCCATATTCCTTTAAAAGGGTCCACTGCTCACTAAAGCTGACCCGTGCATGGCATATTTAGAACCCAGTCCTGGGGACAAGGTATTTTATTTGCATTTGTCATGGAGTCTGTTGGACCATATCTTGTAGAGCAGGTGCACTCCACATAAATAATATTTGGCCAATATAAATAACCTTTACAATACAGGTGTACCTCAGTTTACGAATTTAATGTGTTCTCCAGGATGTTTCGTATTGCGAAAAATTAGTAAACCGAAACAGGGTTTCCCATAGGAATGCATTGAAAACCAATTAATCCGTTTCGAAGAAAAAAAAAAAGTCTTAATCGGTTCAAAACTTTATAAAGTGCATTTTAAAAGGCATAAATACTGTACAGGGACATGATCAAAAATTTCCAGAATGGCTTCAAAACTCAATGCAAAAACCACTCCAACACCTCCACACTCAACACCACGTGCTACCCAGACTCCAGCATGCACGGGCCGGCGCTATAAACCTCCCAGGCGGAATTCATCCTGGGGAAACTTGCTTCATATTGCGAAAAAAAAAAAAAAAAAATTTGTCAACACATTGAAAACCAATTAATCCGTTCCGGAGGTTAAAAAAAAAAAAAAAAGTCTTCTGTTCAAAACGCTTTATAAAGTGCACTTGAAAGGCACGGGCCAGCGCTATAAACCTCCCAGGCGCAATGCATCCTTACATCCTAGGGAAACTTGTTTCGTATTGCGAAAAAAAAATTCGTAAACCAAGGCATCATTTTCTTTTGTTAACCAAGGCACGCCTGTCTCTCTCTCTCTCTCTCTATATATAAAAAAAAAAAAATGTATCTCTTTCTCTCTATCTAATCAACAAAAGGGAACTTGTTGTTTAGAATATATGGGGCAGCACAGTGGCTAAGTGGTTAGCACTTCCGCCTGGCACTAGGGTCATTGGTTTGAATCCCAACCACGGCACCACCTGCCTGGAGTTTACATGTTCTCCCTGTGCCTGCGTGGGTTTCTTCTGGATACTCCAATTTCCTCCCACACTCCAAAGGCATGCTGGTAGGTGAATTGGATCCTGTCTAAATTGGCCCTAGTATGTTTATGTATGAATGTAAGTCAAGCACCTTAGGTTGTACACTCCTTAAGGGTTAGGGACTGATGTGAATGTACTATATATGTAAAACGCTGCGTAAAATTGACATTACTGTTTAAGTACCTGAAATAAATATATTTTTTCATTACTCCTCTAGTGAATAGGCCCACTTGTTACCATCAATGCAGCACTCTGGCTAGGGGGTTACCATCAATGCTAGCACTCTTTTTTTAAGTGAGTACCATTTTATAGCAATACACATGTGTATACATGCATAGAAATATAGAATGTGGTTGAACACTTTATAGCCAATGTGTTTATCTCACTAGGATCACCCTCTGGCCATTATATCCCCTTCTGCAGTCTGCCTTGAGTCGCCATGTATCCATTCCTGTGTGCCCCAGGATTCCATCTGGTCGATTTCTTGATGTGCCAGGTATGAGATGTGTGGGGACAGGGCAGATTGAGTAGTATTCAAGTTTTTGATCACATACATACACAGTATCACTGTTATGGCTGGATAATTTCTTAATTGTACCTATTAGTACCCCATTCACAGGTTTGCTTCCTGAAGAAGCCAAGTAGACAAAACATGTGGAAAAGCCTGTGTTTGAGGATCTCAATTTAAATGACATATACTAGATATAAAAAAAACTATAGAAATAAAGCACTTTGTAATATTTTATTGTACAAATACATAAAAAAATTCTAGTTTAACTTGTGTTGGCATGTAACATAAGCACCTAGAAACCCCCACTCCTACCTTTTCCAGCATTTTATTGTTGCATTTTCATGCACACAGTAATAGCTAAAAAAAAAAAAAAAAAAACACCAGTGCAATGCATGTGAAAAGTGCACTGATACAATGCAATTGAAAATAGCATGCCAGCAGGTGTGTTACATGCACACTAGTGTGTGTTATGGGGTCAGCAGGCCCCTTGAATGTATGTACAGACCAGGGTTTTTTGATGGATTGGGAAGGAATAGATGGCAATAAAAGCAAGACAGGGGTTCTATGTCCCCAAAAGGAAGATTTACCCCTCTATGTGTAGGATCTAAGAACAGCAAAGCAAGGGGAGTGGAGGAGTTTTAAAACACGCCATCACTGACCTCTCTAGCTGCATGTATGGAGTAGTTCATTCTCAAAGATCACAGATAATTTTCAGTCAGTTTCTAACAGCTTAAAGCAACCTGCTGTGCATTTTACATTTGAGGGTCAAGGGTGGCCAAGTATCTGTTCTCCACAGAAGGCAAAAATGGGAAGTAGCTGTGATTTTTGTGCCACTATTCAGAACTTTGGAGATTACTTTCTTCATAACACCTACAGAGGTGAATAAGGATTTTTTTTATGCGTTTACAGAATATATCAATGTTTTAGTGTGCTTTGTCTCAGTGCTGTTTCATTGCAGAGTACATTTGTCAATAGCAAGTTTCCTGCATGTGCACTGCATTATTTTCAGCAAAAAAGCCAGTGACCCCTGCAGACAGACTACACTAGGCCTAAGAATCAATGCAGTCACTCATGAGTTTCAATACAGAACTTGAAACAAGTTCTAGAACAGTTTATTAATTACAAAAACAATATTTACACAAATATACAGAAAGTTATATACATAATATGCTATGACCGCCAAAGCATATTAAACTGTACATAAACAGGTTACTTTGTAAGATGAACAATGCTATTTGCAGTATGTTTAAGAACCAGACTGTACTACTTTATAAGCTCCTCCAATGTCTATAATTGAGCATCTGGAACGCATGCAGTAATGGGCAGTTTGTTCCCATGCATGTGTCACGTAGTACTAAGGTAAATGCAGTTGAAACAATTGCAGTGCCGCTGAGAGCTTCAGCTTTATAGGTTCTAGACCAGGGATCCCCAACCAATTTGGATGGTAAACCACATTCACCTATGACATTGGTGATATGTGGACAGACCTTTCAGTTGCCTTCTGCTGCTGTGACCACTGAAGAAACAAAGAAATTCTTCACCTATCATGTTATTACAAATACAGGAAAAAACATTTAACACAGTGTATAATTTCATCATGGCAACAATTGTGTTGTTCAAGGTGTGATGCAGCAAGCACAAAAGTTGAAAGATTGTCACAAGCATCATCATTGCAAGCTCACAGCCACTTGTTAGGGATCAATGTATTGAGCACAAATTGTTAATGTTTCAATATGTATTTCCCTATCATAACCACAAAGTACATTGTTCACAACAAAAGGTTTATCAGGTGCCCCTATCTGAAACTCGCTTACCTATGTAAAGTACTCCTGTAAACCTGTAAGTCTCTGCCATCCATTAAATGGTACCCATACCACAGGTTGGAAAACAGATTTTAGCAGCTCTAAAATGTAGTTCGCTATCACATTCTGAAGATTTCACACAAAATCAACACCGATGGAACCTTTGTAATAAGAATACCACATGGTACCAACACCTGATTTTGGTCTTGGGACAGTTTAATACATTACCATAGACTGTCACACAGCTGGTTCTTTTTACAATATACAATCCAATACTTAGATTACATTAAAATGGCAAAGAATTGTAAAAAAAAAAAAAAAAAAAAATAAAAAGAAATCAGTCTTTCCAACTCAAGTTCACATTTTTGAAAAACAGGCATTTGAAGGGATTGCTAAAAAATACCCAATACCAACCTTCATAAAAGTACAAAAGAGTTAAAAGTGGTGTAATAAAAAGAGTCCAGTGGGCCTCATTATAAATAATACTAACACACCACAAATTCAGAGTGTAACAGACAGCCAGCATAAAGTGTTCAGTAATGCAGTGCAAAATGAGCAATAAAGTGCTCTCTTACATTGTTCATGACACTAATGCTGGCTATACACACCATTTGCAGCCATTTCAGCCACTTCAAATCAGACAACTGCAGGGGCGGACTGACAACACATGGGCCCCCGGGAAATAAGGGATCATGGGGCCCCTGTGTCCTTGCCCAAACTCAAAAAAGCCCAAGAAAAAAGGTACCAGGGGCATCTCAAGGGGCCCCCTACTGACCCCGGGCCCTCGGGCAGTGCCCGAGCTTCTAAATGGTCAGTCTGCCCCTGGACAACTGAACACATAATCTAACAGTTTCTGCTGCCACTAAGAAATGACCAAACCTTTTAGTGGTAGGTTGTCTTTTTCCTATATGGTTAGTTCTGTAATCAAAAACGGTTTAAAAATGGCAGAAAATTGTGTGTGCATAACCAGCATATAGGCTGCTCACAAATCCCGCCAGATTATCCTACATTTTTGCAAGAGGCAAACACACAAGATAATGTAAAGAGCAGTGTGGCGTGTTGTGAAAAATCTAACAGGCTAGATTTGGATGAGCAGCCTTATGTTCTCCCATTCAAGTCAGTTGAATGGCATCTTTCCCAAAATGCAGTACAGCTCATGGGACATGTATGCAGTGCAGCCAAGGCAATGTGCCTTACTGTAATGCATGTGGCCAAGTGTATTCTAGAGTAATTGAGTCATGGAGGCCTGCAAGTTTGTGAACAATGCAGAGACAGTTATATTCCCTTTCAAACTTGTGAGCGCAGTCTAGCGGTCAGCAACCATATTACCTATTATGTACATTAGTGTAATTGTGTAGCATTTTATTGCCTAGACGTCGCGTTCAAAAAACACAGCAGATCATGCCACTGTGCTAAAAAAAAAAAAAAAAAAAAAAAAAAAACATCCTAGAAAGGCTGGCATGTATGAAGAAAAGATTGATTGATAGCAAGAGAACGTTGGACATTTTGTGCTGTACGTATAAACACGCAGGGCATGATTACGCCCATCTTCCACTTGATGCAAAGCTGCGACTGAAAGAAAAACTGACTTCAGAGCTCTTGTGCTTTCCCCAGGCCCCAAAGGGGACAATGATGGCTGTGCTGTTGTCTTCTGCCCCATACTGGATAGCCTGAAAAGCAATGCCAAAAAAGATTACCATAAAGTGTTACAGCTTAATTTCAAAGTACAAAATTCAGAACAATCCCTTGATCAGAAACACCAACTTTATATTCTATAAAGGACACAGAAAATCTACTGAACTGAAAGATTGGAGAGTAATGTGAAGTTAAAAGTTTATATCTACAAAATGTTGAAGTCTCATAACCTAACTTAAAAACCAGTCACGTTTGAATTTATGCAAAAATCTGAATATTTGGCTTTCAATTTATAGGCTTCACTTGTATAGCTTAGTGTATATCAAACACTTCAGCTTGAGTCAGGGTGTTATAAGACCCCTGAGCGGAGCTTTGAAAAGTTATTGCCTCCCAAATGACTTTGCACATGGTCCTCCTATTTCTAAAGAGTGTAAACAACTATCAGATTTGAAGAAGGGATCTTGCACACTTGCCTTAAGCTGAAGCGTGAAACAAGTAAAACTAAAAATGGGGAGGCTCATTGAAATCTCCCTTGGGTAGATATACAATATTAGAATGAATTAGGGCAACATGCTCAGAACTCTATACAAGCCCAATCACCACTGGGCAACCTCATACATACTTATTCTGAATATTACAAAAGGTTTGCTCACAGCATACTCAAGCATAAAATCTGCTCCACCATGCTAAATGCAGGAGGGAAAAAAAAAAAAAAAAAAAAAAAGAAGAAGTATTTATACAATTGCCTCAATTTGTTAAGCATGAATCATACTGATATTATTGGTATCTGCCGAGTGCAGTCTTTCTGGCTTTAGGCAGCCAGCCCGTCCCTACTGCCATTTAGCAAAAGGTTTTCTAGCATGGTACTGATAAGCTAAAAAGGAAGAAACCCCTTCATACACCAAATGCTAGAAAAACGTGTTGTAGGTACTGACACTGTTATGGAAAAAAAAAAAAAAAAAAAAAAAAAAAAAAAGGGAAAAAGGGGGGAGTAGGAGAGGAGAAGAGGGTATGTGGGAGGTTTGCACAAAAGTCACATTACACTGTCTAGCTTGGGTGAGATATTTCCCCTCAATGTTCAGAAATCCAAACTGGCTGTTTAAACAGTTTAAATTCAAAACACTAATCATAGCAGTATATAACAACATCACCGGTAGAGAACCCTACCAATGCTAGAAAGGCACCTTTTAGATGTATGCCTAAAACAGGAGTGTCTATGATAACCCCTAAACTTCCCACCTAATCATTATCAGTGTAATGGAAGGTGCATTTGTTTTAAGGACTATGTCAAAACAGGTATACAGCTGCTTGAGCATTCCTACTGTACTCCAAATGCCACAGACAGACAGACAGACAGACAGACAGACAGACAGACAGACACAGACACACCAGATTAGGGCACCTGAAAAAAACATGAGCAGTTTAACCCATTGTGGACAGGGAATGGCATTATCACTACAAATTATTGAAACTGTATCCAAAAAGGTTTATATACCCTTGCTTGCAGTCCAGTTTGGGTTGCTACAGGGTTTTCCTCACTGTCCAACAGTACAAGTTCAACATCATGGACAGGACATTATCAATCTCCTGCCTGGAATGAATACTACCAAACTTCCAATTAGTAGTGAGATGTAAATGGCAAGATGCTCTTTTCTGAAAGAGGGTTGGTTTTGGATATTTTCTGTCAGCATTCTGGTCCAAATATGTAGTTTATGGTAAAAGATGGGGAATGTCTAATTATCCAACTATTTCAGCACCACAAGTCAAGCCAAATCATGCCAACAGAAATTTTTAATAGTGACATTTGAAGTTTCAACAGTGCTATTCAGGTCAAAAGGGGGGCAGTAATTCCACTATGGCACTAGGCTATTAATAAAATTTAGGTTAGAAACCATGGCCAATTTTAGTCTGCTTTTTAGTCACTATTAACAGGGTTTTATACGCACATTAATCAATATGAGCAGCAGGAGAGGCAGAGGCTTGCCTAGAACTCATTGTACTGCTGGAAGCATGTAGTCAGGTATAATATCCCATTAGGCTATGCAACACTTACCTGTTCAGTGAGGACTTGTGCTGCTTCAGCAGGATCATGGCACTGATTTATTATGTCACAGATCTCTTGGCTGTTAACAATGAAGTTAATGCCATCGGTAGTTAATACTAAAAATCCATCATCAGCATGATGCAACTAGAAATGTAAAAAGAACACTTACTGCTAAAGTCAATTAGAAAATGTATAATACACGCACTTTAGTATTACATCTATGCAAATTAACTGTATTAGGTACACATTTGTGGGGTGCACTGATAGCAAGTCCTAAAAAGATAAACAAAAAAAAAAAACAAAAAAACACACAATAATAATAATCAAGCCGTTTATTGCAGTTTGAATCTGTACCATTAGATGTGAATCACCTTTTGTCGATGTACGGTGTTATATAATACAACAGTCAGCAATTAGTATGCCGGCAGTAACAAGGCAGTGGTTCACAAAATCTACCATCTTTACCACCCCCCCAAAAAAAGACTTTAAAACATAAAATGGAAAGGACTTGTTTACAAAAGAAAAATCCCAATATCATTTGGATGTTAGGATTATGAAAGGTTTTGTAAATTCACACACAATTCAGTTCGCATGATCAGATCACATTCTATTCTGAAATGAAACTGCGCCACCTGCAGGCTGTGGGTGGAAACACTTCATATGATCATCATCCTTCAATAAAAAGGAGCATTTTTTTGGCATGATCTGTCATATTTTCAATATCAATGCCACAATTTCAGAATTTCTGCCAGGGTATGAAAACTTTGAGCACAACTGTATGTCCAGCCCTCGGGTCTTTTGCAGTCTCTCTCTCTCCCCTTTCCTCTGTTTTTTTTTTTTTTTACTTCTGTTGTCTTGCAGTTTTATTTTCTAAGCTGGCTGTCCTGTTCCCTCCTAAGCCACGAGTCAGTCACCAGTAACAAAAGACCCTCATCTCCATAGGCATAGGACCTACACTTTGCCAAGTTTTCCAGAAGACTTTTAGAGGGCTTCTTATGCACGTTGCTTTGATCTTTTGCAGCTCTGCCTGATCAATATGGCATCATCCAGGGGACAACAGAATTTCATCCGACAGCTTCACTCCAGATGAAATTCTGTCTCAAGCAAAATAAATCTAAGAAAAGGCCCAGCTGGGCCTGTGGAGCACTTCCCATACCAAACAAATTCATTTACAGGGAATAACTGAGCACATTTTCAGTAAACAGAACGAGACAGTCTTCAGGTGTTGAGAGACTCCATATCAGAACTGGCATCAGCCCTCCCAGGTCAGATCACTTCCCAGAGCTCTTGCCTAGAGGTGCCTCTGGAAGATCAACCAGGCACTTGCATAAGTATTTCTATAACCTTATGTCTCCCCCTGCCAGTAAAGAGCTAGGAGATTATAGTGGTCACACACTGCGGGAGAAGGATTCAGATAAGCTGGGCTTCAGCTTTACTCTGATTCAGCCCTATAGTCCAGCAGTAAAGCAACATAGTGGTTGGGAAAAAGAAGAGAAGACGGCAAAAACAAACAATCCCCTTTTCTGCAAAAGCATCAGACCTTTTTACCCTTTATGGAGGAAATAGGGGGATTTAATAGCTCAAAAGTGGCAGAAGTTCTCGCTGAACTGCTCACAAATTATCTTTTTCAGGGAGTTGTTGATGTGGCTATAGTACACCTGGAAAAAAAAAAAACCCCACACTTTCAAAAAAATAGGACTCTGCCTCTTTCAAAGATGTAACTGATATGAGGATTGACCCAGACCTCAAAAGAGTCAGAAGAGGGCTGAAGATCATAATGTGGGTGCAGTTTGCCAGCCGGCAATACCTCTTTCATCCATCACTAAAACATTTAGGGTATTGGCTAAAACCATGGAGACAGCAGTCAATGAGAGAGAGTCAAAAAGGAAGACCTTGTTCGTGCCGTGGACAGACTGAAGATGTCTTCAGATTTCAACAGGGAGTATGGCAAGAGATGCCAGGTGCTCGGCTTGAGCAATACTCCCTCAGTCACAGAAAGGGGAAAAAAAAAAAAAAAGCCTTGAGCTGCAGACAACCTCAAAAACATAATTGGTGCAAGATTCCCTTTAATGGGAAATCTGACAGTAAACTAGATACAGCCATTTCAAGAGTAACAGGAGTGAAGTCTGGCCTGCTTCTCCAGGAGAGAAAGCAAAAGTGCTCTAGGCGTTTCCCTAACAAATTTCATCCCATGAGGGCGAGAGAGTCCAGGGCTGGATGACAGTCAGATTTCAGAAGAGGTTGGAGGGAACGCAAGCAAATTTTCTGCAGGGACACAGAAGACCTTGAATGTCACCCATGATCCGACTAAATCCTTTTGACGGTTAAGATGTCCAGACTGACAGCGGGAGCTAGGCTGGCTCTCTTAACGGAGGTCTGGACAAGAAAAAAAAAAATAATAATAATGCACCGGGTACATAGGTACAGTCAACTGTAACACATGGAAGTTTTTGGACTTCTTCCTAGATGCTCCTTTCTTTGACCAATTTACTCCCATAAAACTGCCAGATTCTCCTCAGAAAGCAAAAATCCTATTATAATACCTGTGCACATTTCAAATCCAGTGCAGCGGTCCAGGTTCAGGTTCCCTATTCAGAAAAAATTCACAAGCTTCTATTCAACTCTTTATGGTTCACAAAAGAAGCAGGAGGATGGCAGCCAGTGATACTTAAAACAAAATCACTATATCTTTCTGGAAAAATTAAAAATGGAATCCCACCATACGATAATTCAAGTGGTACAGCCAGGCGACTAGATTATGGAATTGGACCTCCAGGACACCTACCTCCACATCCCAATCCTCTCGTCCTTCCAAAAATATCTGAAGTTTATAGTCAGTTGCTACTCTTGCAATTCCGAAGCCTTCCATTCGGGCTTTGCACATCTGAAGACTTTCACAAACATTGTGATTCTAGTCCCCATCATGGAGAAGGACCTCAGTGTGCATCAACTAGACCTAGAGCAGCTTATTCACCGAGGAGTTTCTGCTATGCACTCTCCAGAGATTTGGTTGGATAGTCAACTTCGAGAAAATCCAACTTTCTCCTGCTCAGCAGATACACATGGTAGCACTCATCACCACCACCAATGCCGCAGGTGTCTCTTCCACCCTAGAAAATGCAAGTCAACCATTTCCCTCCTGTCAGCAAGAGCATGGTCTCGAACGTCTTAAGAGATTCAAGTGGCATTTTCCGCTCTTAACAGCCCTGCAGTACAAAATGGAGGGGGAAACCAGTTTCATTGCAAATGGAGAAGTGGCAGTCGCTTACATCCAACACCTAGGAGGTACATGCAGCAGCACACTTCAGGAGCAGGAGGTAGGGCCCATATTGTCATAGGCAGAACGCCACATGGCAAATTTGAGAGCAGCATACCTCCTAGGCAAGCTGAACATGCAAGGTGTGACAATTCAATTCCAGGAATGCCAGCATTGTAGCACTATGATGGTGAGTTACACAGCCATTTGCACTCGAGCGTGACATTTTCTAACTTGCATTCACCTGGGTCACAGACCAGTTGACTCTTTACGTAGTAGTAGAAGAAATAACGTGTGTGTGTTGCACGGTTGGTGGAAAATGAGGGACAGGAGTCTGGTGCAGCAGAATAACATCAAAATTTTGCATAAAAAATTGGCAAAAATGCAAGTAAAACTTCAGCTCCATTACAACAGGCTTATAGTGAACATTCCATGAAGAAATTGAGTGTTTTGAATGTTATACGTGGTTTAACCACTTGCCTACTGGGCACTTTTACCACCCCTCGCACCCAGCTCAATTTTCAGCTTTCAGTGCCGTTGCAGTTTGAATGACAATTGCGCAGTCATGCAACACTGTACCCATATGAAATTTTTAGAATTTTTTTCACACACAGAGCTCTTTTGGTGGTATTTAATCACCACTGGGGGTGTTTTTTTTTTTTATTTATAGTGCAAAAAATGTGAAAAAACAAACGTTTGTTTTTATTATAACATTTTGTAAACAGGTAACTATTCTCATTCATTGATGTGCGTTGATGAGGCTGCACTGATTGACAGCACTGATGAGATGGCACGGAGAGGCTACAATGATGAGGTGGCACTGGTGGGCATTGATATGCAGCAATGATGGGCAGCACTGACCATCAGTGCCCTGATTAGCAGTGCTGATCTGCTCTGTGACAGCAGGACTTTCCTCATGCTGTGACACCCTCCCAGAACTGGACAACCACGCTGTATCTGTCATTCGGCTATAGCACGGTAAGGATGTGGTTAAGGAGTGGTGGGAAGATGTCTTAGATGACGCAAGAAGTCAGCAGCCAAAAACTCAAAAGGACAGATGCAAATGTGGACAGAGGGAGAAGAATCTGTTCAAAGGAAAAGACGAACTCCAGCCTGACAAGCTGATTCTCCACGAAGACTTTGCTCCTGCTCACGATGTTAAGTATTCACCTGCAACGTTCTAGAAAAATTCCAGAAATGGATTCCAGCACTGGCACAGTCATCTAGAAAAGTGCATCACTTCACAAAATGACAGCTGCTAGTAAGCAATTTTTTTTTTCAATAAACCATCCATTCCTGAAATTAAATTGTCAGACCTGTTACAGGCAGACCGACTTTTTCACAGATTCTCAGACCACAATGAGTGCTCCCTGCATTCCCAGATTTTCAACCAGCAAGTGCACATGTGGAGTGTGCCCCATATAGACCTCTTCACTATCCTCCAATCACAAGCTTCACAGATATCCAACCTCATAGTGGAGGTGACAGACGTGCTAGTGTTTCCTTGCAACTGCAGTCTGGCTTATGCTTTTCCACCTTTATCTCTCATAAGATTCCTATTGATGCTTCTGAAAGAGGATACCTCAGTCTTAGCCATTCTACCTTATTGGCCTCACAATCCCTGGTTTCCCCAGGCAATTCATCTCAACGTCCAGAAGCCAGTTTGCCTTTTAGTATTTCCACTTGTGCCGCAAGGAAAGTTCAAGCGCCCAAACTTGCTCAGACTAGATCTTTGAGCATGGCTTTTGAAACGGCTAAGTTGGAGGACCTAGGCTAGTATGAGGCTCCTGTACCTTTAAAGGAGGGGTGGGCTCCCTCAGGTCCACCTGCCCTTAGTCTATCCATTAAATACATGTGCCTCTACTATGGGGGCTCTTAAAATTGTAGAGTTAGGAACTACAAAATACTGGGGTGCCGTGACCAGGCTCTGTAGCTTACACATTTGCAAATGTGTGCTAACTAAACCCCTGTTTGTAACGCATACTGTTAAGACAGGTTAATTTGGTTTGTTTGCAGGCTGGCTGGCAAGTTAGAGCTGGGAATTGTTGTTTGACATGCGGCGCCCTTCTATTCCCCCCCACTGACACCATTGATGGGGCACCATTTCCCCCCCACTGACACCATTGATGGGCAACCATTTCCCCCCACTAACACCAACAATAGAACACTATTCCTAAAACGGAGACCAATGATGGGGCACTATTCCTCCCACGCTAGTATCAGGGTTCCTGGATTTCCTTCAGTCCAGACTGGATCTAGGCCTTAGCTGAAATTGCTGCTACCTGGAATTTCAATGGATTTAGGCTGGTACAAAATTTAGGCAGGCAGAAGAACCTTTATCCACCTGTTTCTCAGAGCAGTGCTGAGAACTCAACCACCCAGGAGTCTCTTCCCTGTAGGATTTGTCACTCCTTCTGGATGTTCTTTTAATCAAGTCTTTTGCTCTATATGCTTATGCTTAATATGGGACATATATATAAAAAAAAAAAAAAAAAAAAAAAAAAAAAAAAAAAGGGAAGAGTTTCTTGTTGCGGTGACTTTGGGAAGAAGAGTCTCAGAACTGCAAGCCCTAGGAGCAGCAGAAGAGATCTCATACTTCCCAGCATGGAGCTTCAGCCCTTCCATGCCCAAGGTAGCAACGTCTTTTCAAATGTCAGAATCCTGGGCCTTACCTAACTTTCTAGGGGGGGGGGGGGGGGGGTTAGAAACACTACATGAACCAGATATCTCCAGGTTTCTGCCTTTACTGCTCCATTTAGAACAGAGACTCTCATCCCAAGCGGGAAAAACAGGTGGACAGGAAACCCTGTCACAACACTGGCTGAGTGGATTGGTAAACTCATCCACAAATGTATAGAGCAAGAGGCCTGGATCTTCCTTTAGTGGAGATTGCACACTCTACTAGGGCGGTTGCAGCTTCCAGAGTGGCTCACTCAGAGTTTCCATGGAAAATCTGTAAGGCAGCCTCGTGGTCCTCACAGCATACTTTTCTGAGGCATTACAGGGTTGACCAAGGAACCATGTTGACTGTGGACTTTGGTAGATTAACAAATGAACAATTCAAGCTTCCGTTCAGTCCTGACAATAACTTTTTCAAACATCCACCCAGTCAGCTAGTTATCAAAAAGGTATGCTGCCATGTGGGCACCACTGTTTGGCAGGGGGATGGGGTTTGGAGGTTAGAAATCCCTGCTCAGAGGATAAGGGGGTGCAGAGGCTGGTGCATCTAACATGTTACATCCTGAATATGGTGTATCATTGTGTAAAAAAAAAAAAAAAAAAAAAAAAAAAAGAAGGTGAACTTATCCTTTATGTGGCAAGGTCAAAAGGCAGCGATTAGCTCCTGCAAAGAAGTATAAATAGAACACTAAAATGGCATTTGACAACAAAATTACTGCGCCATTCTTTTCAATGCTGGCATGCTTTGTATCACATGCTCAGGGTACGGTTAAAGAATGGAGAGTTTACAGAGAAGTGAAATCTACTACAAGTGAAGAAATACTGGCCAAGACAACACAGGCCAGGTTCTCACCTTCACTCTTTTAGTTTCAGGCTCTGCTATTACTCCCGTTGATTTGAGATCCAAATCTCCAATGCTTCTGGTCATTGCAAGTCTGCCATTTACGTGGGGTTGTCCCAAGCTGTTCCAAGCCACAAAGCCACCACATTCTCTAATCCTGAGAACAAAACAAAACATTTTCGATGTTATCAGATCACCAAGTCTAGATGAAAGGAACCTAGAGCATGAGAATATCAAATATTCAGGCTGGGCCATTTTATATGCAGTTTACCCCCAATGACTGTCCAGCCTCTGACTTTTCACATTCAAGCAAGATGGAGCATAAAGGCAGCATCTCCTAAATTCACAAACTTTTAATGTGGAAGAGCAAGCTTTTGAAATCACCCTTTAAAAATGTCCCCCCCCCAAACATGCATACACTATATATAAAAAAAAAAAAAAAAAAAAAAAATGTATATACTAGTTGTGTTCAAAATAATAGCAGTGTGTTGAAAAAAGTTAATAAAACCTCAAAAATCCTTCTAATAGCTTTTATTTCCATACACACAAATGCATTGGGAACACTACACATTCTATTCCAAATCAAAATATGAAGAAAAATATATCAAATTTGTGTTCCTCTAAAAAAAAAAAAAAAAAATTGAAGAAAAGTGATTAGACTGTTCAAAAAAAATAGTGTTTGTATTCTTCACAAACGCAAACATTCACTACATAAACTGAAAAATGTTTGAAGATTTTGCTTTCCTTTGAATCACTTAATGAATATTTAGTTGTATAAGCACTGTTTCTGAGAACTGCTGTACATCTGTGTTGCATGGAGTCAACCAACTTCTGGCACCTGTGAACAGGTATTCCAGCCCAGGATGATTGGACTACATTCCACAGTTCTTCTCTATTTCTTGGTTTTGCCTCAGAAACTGCATTTTTGATGTCACCCCACAAGTTTTCTATTAGATTAAGATCCGGGGATTGGGCTGGCCACGCCATAACGTCAATCTTGTTGGTCTGGAACCAAGATGTTGCACGTTTACTGGTGTGTTTGGGGTCGTTGTCTTGTTGGAACACCCATTTCAAGGGCATTTCCTCTCAGCATAAGGCAGCATGACCTCTTCAAGTATTCTGATGTATTCAAACTGATCCATGATCCCTGGTATGCGATAAATAGGCCCAACACCGTAGTATGAGAAACATCCCATATCATGATGCTTGCACAACCATGCTTCACTGTCTTCACAGTGTACTGTGGCTTGAATTCAGTGTTTGGGGGTCGTCTGACAAACTGTCTCTGGCCACTAGACCCAAAAAGAACAATCTTACTTTCATCAGTCCACAAAATGTTGCGCCATTTCTCTTTAGGCCAGTCAATGTGCTCTTTGGCAAATTGTAACCTCTTCAGCACGTCTTTTTTTCAACAGTGGGACTTTGCGGGGGCTTCTTGCAGATAGCTTGGCTTCACATAGGCGTCTTCTAATTGTAACAGTACTCACAGGTAACTTTAGACCTTTGATCTTCCTGGAGCTGATTGTTGGCTGAGTCCTTGCCATTTTGGCTATTCTTCTATCCATTCGAATGGTAGTTTTTTGCTTTCTTCCACGTCTTTCAGGTATTGGTTGCCATTTTAAAGCATTTGCGATCATTTTAGCTGAGCAGCCTATCATTTTCTGCATTTCTTTATATGATTTCCCCTCTCCAATCAACTTTTTAATCAAGGTACGCTGTTCTTCTGAACAATGTCTGGAACGACCCATTTTCCTCAGAATTTCAGAGAGAAATGCACTGTAACCAGCATGTACAACATTTGCTGCCTTCCTTCCTTAAATAAGGGCAATAATTGCTACCTGTTTTTCAAAGAATGAATGACCTCACTAATAGAACTCCACACTGCTATTATTTTGAACATGCCCCTTTCAATTAGTGATTCAATTACACAGAATCAGCAGCATGCATGTCATGACTGTTGGATTTCTATTGCTCTACTACACCTGCTAGTAAATTATTTGCCATGTAGAAATATAATTTTCTAAAAAAACAGTGATTGATCAGGTTAGTGATGTCTGACTGCTATTATTTTGAACACAACTGTATATACACAGCCATTTTCAGTCTAGTCTAGTCATGTGATCCACCAGCTTACGCTCCCCAGTGTCAGGGAGCAGCTGCTGCAGGTGAGAGGAGGGAGCGCTAACAATGGAGGGGCCATGGGAGTCTACAGGTAACAGCACAGCTTCAGGAATTCAGAGCCAATTCACTGTCAAGCGCTTCCTTAAGCCATCCATACATGGATCGCCATTAGGCCAGTTCAGCAAGGATGCCACTTCTCTACTACCAGCCTGTCAGATTTTCCATGCCAGATCAGAACCACCGGTTATAGCTGGCAGCGCTGATCAGTGTATTCTGACAGTGGGGAAGTCTTCCCGCTGTTAGAACACAATACCAACGGGGAGGATCCCCCATCTACCTCGATTGTGTGGATGGGGGAAAGCAGGTCTGTTTATCAACTCAATTTATGGGCTACTTTACACAGGGGAGTTGGAGCTGCTAGGACACATGCCTGGACCAGACCAAAAAAGGGTTAAGTACTTAGACCTTTGTTATACACGCTATGCAGAATAGGTAGGAGGGGCAAAGAAGATTTTTAAATAATGGTTAGCCTTACTACTAAAAAAGGACAGCTTTGCTTTTCTGTGCCTCTTGCTCGAAAGACCCCTACTGCCCTTTTCCAAACCCTGTGCGTTACAAGACGCACCTTTGATCAGCAGTTTCTTGGGTCCCAATACTGCAACTTACCAACAGGCTGCACTCTGACTTTGTGCTATAGGCTTGTACATATAGCTGTCCTTTGATTTCTCCAGCACAGTGCGAAGAAGATTTAAATCAGGCCTAGTTTAAAACCCTGCCAACTGGCTGAGGTGAATTCGGTTGAATGGGAAGTTCCAAGTTCTGGCTGCTAATATTACACGACGGACGGACGGACACACACACACGGACACACACACGAATTTAGAGCTGACTTTGCTCCTAGAAAGCTATGTATTTCAGCTTAACTACTACTTTTTATTCATTACAGTCAGCATATTGCAACCAAGTCAGCATCTGAGTAAAAACCCACTTTAATAAATTATTGAGCAAGGATTTCAATCCAATGAATTTTTGGTAGTGTCTCATGATGTGCTACAGAAAATGTCATATGTATATGTAGAAGAGTACAGAAGATTGTAAAGTACTGCCCATACATAGAAACTTCAAGACAACAGGATTGCTGTACCACAAAGGAAATTGAATACTATACCGTTGTTTTTCCTCCTTTCTCTCAGGTGTGTGATCAATTGTGAGCTTCACAGGTTTTCCCTTCCGACACAACAATGCACGGCTGTCACCAACACTGGCCACAACTAGCTCAATGCCATCACGCAATAAAGCCACTGTTGCAGTGGTCCCACAGTTCAAGAGAGTTGCTAAAATACCATAAATAGAACCATTATTACAACAATAATATTGGAGGGTGCATTAAAAGTACAATACCAATAATAAGTCATGATTATTTTGCATTCCTAACTATGTTAGTAGAAAATGTAAAAATCAGCATGCTGAATGAAGCATGGCACAAGGCACAATACATGCATCATAAAGACCAATAGGGTTCATCTAATGCAATTCATTATACAGGAAGTAGCCCGACAAATTTGAAAGACTACTCCTCAAACAAATGAGATGTATCTGTTTTTGTAGTGCACTGGGGATGCGGGTTATGTTACAATTAACTAAATTTCTACCGAGAGGCTTCTATTCTGCACTGTTAAAAGTGGAACTTTCAGCATTAAAGATGTGTGAACAGGCAGGAATTTCAATGCAGAAGAGACATACTTTGTCTCTTCTGCATTAAAGTTAGTTTCTTACCTGCCTGTCCTCCCTTGTACAGTGTGTCACGTATATGCAGCTCGCTGTACACATTCACCAATGCTGAATCTGTCTGAACACCCCACCTGGCCAATGTCAGCAGCTGACGTTTGAGACTCGGAAGCCAGCTGCCTGAAGATGTCAGCAGCTGTGTGGGAAGCTTGGGGACGCCACATCGCTGGAGCAGAGTATAGTTCAGCTTTAAATAAGATCTCAGAAAATTTAAAAAAACGGAGAAATTAATGCTTTTTAGAAGTCGGATATGCGTATATAGGGTGTGTATTTACAATACAAAGTTGCATATTGCAAGGGAATTTTTCTCTAGATCTTCGAAATATGGTGGAATTTTACTTTCCAAAGAATACCCAAATCATACGCAAGGAAAAATAAATAAAGGGGAGGAGAAAATGTATTTTTGCTGATGGAAGTTAGCAAAGCTTCATCTCATTTACAAAGCTCTATGGAATATTCACTTTTCTTACAAAGTGAACAGTCCATTTGCCTTTAGTAAGCCAACCCTATGAAGTACACATTTCAAGGATCTCAAATTACTTGCAATAAGCTGCCTATATTATAACCCTCAACATCTGAAAGACCCCTGGGAGAGGCACCAAGCCAGCAATGGGTGCAGAATTCTAAGAACCTTATTACACATTGTTTGCCAAGAAAGGGAGAGTTTAAATTTAACAATTACAAAAAATATGGCTGGCTAGAGTCAAAATGTATCATACTGTGGATCTATAGCCAAAATTTGTTTATCGTTTTGGAGTTGGAAATTTAATCTGTCAGGTTCAATTGCTGTTTGAGGCTCTGTTGGAGGGATTTCTCTGCTTCCTGTATAGTAAAAAAGGCCTTCATCAGGACAAGTGAGGGAAAATCTCTTTAACAGCAATACAGACAGAAGTTTTGGGGTTTTTTTTAGTTAAAAGCATCTGTCAAATTATTGTGTTCTCTCTTCCTGTTGCAGATGTTCCCCTTTCTTGCCTTCCTGTCTGATAAAGGTGTCCCCAGAATAGAAAGGCGAAATCTAACATAGCTCCAAGTAGCAGTAAAACCTGACAAAATGGTCTTTTCCCATTCTATCCAAAAAGAAAAAAAAAAAAAAAAAAAAAAAATTGTTTGGGGTATAGATACTTTAAATCCCAATTGAAATCTACTACTGAAATGAATTCAGGCTGCATTAAAAAAAAAATATAATAATAATAAATATTATAGTAAAAAAAAAGTCCCCCCCTCCCTTTTAATATGCCATTGTGCTGCAGCTTGGGTTAAAATGCCTAATGCCAGCAGCACGCTGGAGAGCCAGACTGCTTAACACAAATTACAGACCTGCAGTGGTCCGAAACCTTTTGCACAGTGCTGCAACCAACAGCACTACTAAGGAAGCATAACCATCATTTAATGAAGCACTGTGTAGAGCATCAGACTGCTGGAGAACTGGACCTCTGTGCTCCTTGTTAAGTAATCTGGAGGTTCAGATTACCTAATTCAGCACAGGGCAATTGAACCCTAGCTTCAGTACAAAAAAGTCCACATAACTTACAAAATGACTTCCTGATAATATAGGGATAGATTAAAATGTGTAGTTATATAGGGTTTTTTACTTTTTGGTAGAAAAAAAAAAAAAAAAAAAAAAAATATGGTATGGCTCAAACTGCACCACACAGACACTGCATGTAATGTGCACATGAATGCGTTGAGATTCCTGTGCAAATCAATGCACCATAGCACAAAGGCAAAGTCAAAATGTGGGTAGACCTGTCTTACAGGATAAGTGCATTTAAACTTTTCTGCACATAGCATTTTTTAGAAAGAAAGGCCAGTAATAGCATCCTTTATGTTGTAATTTTAAGACAAGGGCATTGCTTTAGGATACATTTTGTGCTCCCCATACAGATATCTGCTTGTTGATAGTTTCCGCATGTACTGTGCCATGTCATAATGAGAACGTTCTAGGTAGCTAATGATTTAAACATTGTTGCTTTACAAGTATGATTTTTGATATAATGCATTAAAGCAGGTGTTATTACTGTTCTGTGAAGCCAAAAAATAGGTCAAATCTGTAACTGCATGGTGGGGGTGGGGGAGAATTCCACACAAATTGTAATATACAATATACAGAAAGCCACAAGAGTTTTATCAGCTTCTTCTAATATTTTATTATTGATTTAATTGGTGCAACTGATTCAACGAGTAAGAATGAAGAAAATAAAATCATGCTAGCCCTGCGCTTTGTGCAATACACATTTGTACCAACTGCCCCTATTCCACTGGTCATGATTTTCTTTAAGCAGAGATCAGGACTTAACAGATGAATTAAGTGCGGCTTAGTTCTCCTTTTACTATATGTTAGGAGTCATGTATAAATGGCTCTTGTCTATTTGTACAGTACCTACTGTAGGTTATAAACCCTTAGTTCTGGATGGACAGTTGGATGCAGGGTAGTTGAAAAGGAATAGAGATAGATGACTATCTTCGGTTTTAAGATGACAACTGCTGAAAATGGAAATATACATACATCAAGGGTTTCAGAAAGCTCTAGGAAAACAGTTCTTCCAGTTGCTTAGAGACAGCTAGTGATTGAAAATATAAGAACGGTTTCACACTGATGCGATGTGGGAAACGCAGTTAGTCCTGTGCGTTTCCCACACTGCGATCGCACGGCATCCGTGCAATCTGCTGAGAGTGTAAATGTTAAACTAACGATACCCAAAAAACAGTGCAATTGCCAGAAATTGGATCACATTGGTGCAGGGGAAAAAAAAAAAAAAAAAAAAAAAAAAAAAAAAAAAATGGTTCAGATGTGATGCGATTTGAGCCACACAAAATGTAAGTTCAAACCGCACCGCACCGAATTTGCATGTGATATGCAAATGAATGCGTTGCGATTCTTGTGCAAATCACATGCAGTGTCTTGCACCACACAAGTGTGAACCTAGTCTTCGTGTACAGACTTAGTTTTTTTTTTTTTTTTTTAGTTAGCCCTCCTGTCCCTGTGACACCCACACAAATACAGGAAACATGGTTGTCACAGGAACAAGAAGATGAAGACTAATAAAAACCACTCTCAAAAGTTTTAGATCTCCTCAGCCTACTAAAATGTGTAGTACAGGTCCCCAATGGAGAGATTTTCTATCACTTCCGGTTTTCACTAGAAAACTAGCTCCGGCGAATTAACTGTAAATATAAAGTAACTGAACTCACCAGGAACTAGAGACAGTGAACGTTTAAAGCCTCTCCCCTAACTACAGAACACATAGGAGAGATAACCAAACATAGTGAAGAAATAGTAATAGTACACTTTTATAAATATTAGGAGTAGCTGATTTGATAGGGAAGGCACCGATTTACAGAATAGCAAAAAGCAGTAAGAAGAAAAAAAAAAAAAAAAAAAAAAAAAAAAAAAAAAAAAAAAAAAAACCACAGTTAGAATTTCCCCTTATTAAAAAACTCTTGTAGTTGAAACAAAGAACATTGCATCATTCTTACATCAGGAACAAGGTAACTAATGAAAGCTACTTTGGTCAAACCAGTCCAAAACGTGTTTAACTGGTTTTAAAAGACGGACCGAATTTACTGTGTATAGGGGAAAAAAACCCCCAACACATTACATTTAGACTGATCTCGCCGTCAGATCAATATAGGACCTTGAGCAGGCATGATTGATGGATAAATAGCTGCTCAGGTAGTTTTTCTAGTACAACCAAATTCCACAGGGTGGTGTTTGTACAAGCTGAATTTACATTCCAGGTTAAAATGCACAACACCTGCTTTAATGTATATATTACAAAAAAAACAAAACAAAAACAAAAACAAAAAAAAAAAAAAAAAAACACCACAGGCTTTGACAAAATGAAAGAAACTAAAGCGATCTTATACATTGCTGATGGTGTATTCCTAGATTTTGGAACAGATTGCGGGGCAAAATGAATTACAATTTAAAATGCCCTTTGTAAATATTCATAATAAATTGTTAGGAATGCAAGAATCCAAACCGCTTGTTCTTTAGGTAATCGGGAAATCACAAGTTTTTTCAGGAAGTATGTGCCAAGACAACTGATAATGTGCAAAATATAAAATCACTGATTGCACCAACGTATGTGGAAATCATTGGCAGGTAAAGTAAACACAAGTTCAGGTCTCCTCTTCCTATAATAAAATAAATCTATGGTGTATACCTTAGGTACTACCTAGCTTTACACCACAACCTGCCATACAAAACAGAAGAGATTCAGTTTACGTTGTTCCAAAATCTAGAAGTGCTAGTTTTGTTATGAAAGTGATAAAAAGTGTCAAGTGTGCCTAATTTGGTGTCTTGCCGAAAGTAATTGTAGCCATACGTAAATTATAGTGTAACAATTTTCTGTCCTTTCAACAAAAACAAAAAACTAAAAGATCTTTCAAGATATCTTAACACTCACTGGACATTTTTATTTTACGTCATGCTCATCTCAACTAATGTGACAAAGTGGATGTTGGGACCTTCCTGTAGTCCAGGCTAGGAACCGCTGGACTCCTTCACCTGGGACAAAATCTAGGAGATTTCCCTTTCCACTGAAGCCCAGCATTATAACGTCCGGGGCCTCCAAGTCTAGAGCTGCTCTCCACGTGCAGTCTCTGCCATAAATAACACGCACACAGAGGCAAATAGGAAATTCACCCAGGGGGTTGTCAAACAAAACAGGCCTGCAACACCAAGATTTGTTAAAAAGCTGCAAGAAACAATGCATTGCATAAATGGAAAGAAAAAAAATAAAGCTATACGCTTGATCACTTGATGGGTTATTTCAAGGGGATTCCCAGAGTAAATCAAAATGTAACCACTGCTTTGAGTCTTCTGGTGTTAAAGCATACAGGTTACCCTCCCATTTTTCGTTCAAAGAGACTTAGGAGTTTTTTTTTTTTCCTACCCGTGGTAGGAGATAATCTAGATATAATCTTGAAAACAGTTTTATATCTGAAAGATACATTTATAGCAAGCCTGTGCCTATTCAGCAATTTGAATATTGTAAAACAGTAATTTAGCTTTCCTGCTAAAACGGTACAGTGGAGAAATTCATCCTCAAAGCTCACAAACAGAAGCTATGAAATTGTATTATCCCATCACTGCTCTCAGAGTACCTGATCTATGTGCACAGAGATCAGAAGGCTGCCCAGTCAATGCTGAGAGGGGGAGTTTGCGTAGAGCTGCTGTGAGAAGCACCTTCGCAAATTTCAGAGCTTCTGCTGTGAATTTGAGGATGAATTCCTCTCCAGTTCCTGCAACTACATAGGCCAGTAAGGGCTTGAATAGTTGTAGGTAATTTTTTTTTTTTTTTTTTTTTTTTTTTTTTTTTTTTTAACATAATGGAGAAGGATTAAAATTTAATTTACAGTCCAATTCTTCACTGGAAAAAAAAAATGTAAACAATTTTAAATGAAGTTGGTATTTTTAAAAACAATTAAGGAGAAGCACTGGTCAGATTTTAGATTTAGCCAGGAAAACCCCTTCAAGTCTTTAACAGTCTTTTCTCACACAGGATGTAGATTAAGAACCCTACATATAGGGCCATTATTGCTTAAGTGATAACAGCTTTTTGTTAAAGTCACTTTGATTTCAACTGTAACAAACATATTTTTCTTCGCAGCTTTCGGTCTGTCTTAGTGTTGTAAGCTGAGCATTTCATTTATTTAAAAATTAAAAAAAAATAAATATATAATACAAGATATAATGGCCTGATGTATCTAACAAAAGGCTATGCAACAGAATAGGTTATCTATATAAAAACAAACATACAGGTAGTAAGCTCTAAAATACACTGAGCTGACAAGTGAACTGTGGTCATCATCACTCATGTGCCTGTACCTCATGTCCATTATATAGGGAGAGAACAAACAAAATCTTGATTTGTAACAAATTCAAAAACATTTTAGAAAAATTCATGTAAGTGCAAAAACAAATTAAAGTTGAGAAGCCATAAACTGCATATTTCCCATGTAATATGAATACAAGACGAAAGTGTCTTTATGAGCCAAGAAAGCCGATAGGATAAATTCCAGTTCACAGAATGGCTGCCTATACTATGTATAGCTTGCTTCCACAGCTTACTACAGCATTTTTACAAGCAATACTTCATCCCTTTCTATATACAGCATCTAGTATAATATAGTACAGTTTAAACAAATTAAAAAAAAATGGGCAAAATGAACCCCAGCAGCTTAGACATAGGGGGGCAGATAGTCAATAATTTGACCACCAAATGTACTCCTTCACCCTGGATACATACATTTCCTTCACAATTCTAAGAAAATAATGGAGGATCAGACAAGAGTTTCTACTAAACCAATTCAACATTAGTCTAATAGAATGTTGGAAATATCTGAACTTGGCATTTCATGCATTAGCTGGTGGCAAACGTCAGTCGATTGCTTAGAGCCAGAATTAAAATACTAAAAAAAAATGTAATTAAGTGTTCAAGCTCACGGTGATGGACCTTTGTATTAATTCAGGACCATAATACATAGGATAAAGGAGGTCCACTATGTATTGTACAATGTATTTTAGAGCATAAAATATTTAGGAGCACAAAACTCCATCAATATTAATGTAACATTTAATTTATCATAAAAGTCTTACAATAAAAAGCTAATGCTGGCAGTAAAAGGTTTAGAACTATTTTTGCTCAGATCTTATGATTTTAATGTGTGCATAAGGCGCAAATTACAAATCCAATTAATCATTATTCAGGTAGCATTCGATTCAATGTGTAAGTAGCAAACCAGAATCATACCCACACAGAGAAGGCATCATATGTTAGGGTTCCCTACCCCATGGAGGTGCATCACAGGTTAGACCTTTACAAAAGCATTCCGCAGTGTTAAAGCCAATTGCAATGTTAAAAGCAGGCCTCTCGGAACACCTCAGATAGTGTGCAATAAAAAAAAAAAAAAATATATCGACAAAAACCTGTGATTAATTAGAGAACATATATAAATGCAACATTCAAATATTCACTGAAGGTAAAATCTGGCTAGTGCTCATGTTTTATATACCGGTAATAATTGACCACAAGTAAATGTTTGGCAAATGTCAAAATGACTGTTTTATACAACTGCCTCTAACAATTCTACCAGTACTGTACCATATACCAGCAATAGACGTCCCCCTCCATCCCTACCTGACCATAGTTTCCTACACTGAACAATGTAAATTTTCGATCAATGTAAATGGAGAACTTACCATCAACAGATAGATGGGCCTGTCTTGCAAATGCTTTATCTATTTCTAGAAAAGCTTTTGTCAGCACTTTTTCCATATCTTCTTCCTGTTTGAGGATTTCCCTGTTGGTAAAATATGCATATTATTACGTTACATTCAACATTGACACAACCAAAATTAGGAATACTCTACTGAAAGGCATAAAGAATAAATGCAAGCTTACTTGATATACTGTGCCATGAAACGGTCACAAAAATCTGCTGCTCCAGCCCCTCCATGCCCATCATACACAGCAAAATACAAGACATCATCATTTAATTTGGCATAGTCGAACCGATCCTCATTTTCCTTCCTCTTCCCTAGCTGTGTAGAACAGCCAACCTTGGATAAATTAATGTGTGGAATGAGCTTGCCATATTTAATGCTGGGTGGAAGCTGAATAGGTTCATCGATTCGATTGTCCCAAATGCCAAATGAGTCCCAGGTGGCAGGACGCCCGCTACTGTCCGGGTCAAAGCGTGATGAGAACGATCTGCGGCTGACACTGGAGCAGTGGCAGGCCGATATTATGCGCGTGTTATCTTGTAATATGCGGGACTTCAGCAAAGCTCCTCTTCTCACCTGTGACCCTCCATGCCTTACAAAAGTAACCAAGATCGCTGTTGACATTCCTTGACTAAACAGAGCGTACTTTACAGAATAAACTTGCGATCTTTGATCTCTTCAGTGTATTCAAATGGAGTAAACTGCAAATTAAAAAGAAAAACTGTTTACTTTATATACCAATGCTGTTGGCAATCAAAACTATAAATCCAACAGTGTAAGATACCTTAAAGGGGAGCTCCACCCAAAAGGGTAAGTTCAGCTTTAAGGACTGCTCCCCCGCTACCCATTAAGGATTGGCATCTTAGGGGGGGCGGGAGCAGGTACTCAAATTTGACAGGTATCGGCTCCCAATTGTGGTCGGACCGCCTAGGCGATGGGAAACAGAAGGGGGTTTATTTACTAAAGCTGGAGAGTCCAAAATCAGACTCCCTTCTGCATAGAAAGCAATCAGCTTCTAACCTCAGCTTGCTCAATGAAGCTTTGGCAATGAAACCTGGAAGCTGATTGGTTTCTATGCAGAAGGGAGTCTGATTTTGGACTCTCCAGCTTTAGTAAATAAACCCCAAGGTGTCCTCCCTCCCTCCTTCCTTCCCTCCCCGTAGTCTTCTGGGACATGTGACAGGTTCCAGAAGACTACGGGATCATTCAGGAAGTGCAGTGCTAATCGCACATGCACAGTGGGTACCCGGCTGTGACGCCACAAGCAGTCACAGCCGGGTGCCCACACTGAAGATGCCGGCCTCCAGGAAGGCAGGTGAAACGGGCTGTGGGGGACACACCACGGGACCGAGGGACAGGTAAGTGGCTGTTTTTTTTTTTAAAGTCAGCAGCAACAGTTTTTGTAGCTGCTGACATTTTTTGACAGGATGAGTGGAACCACGCTTTAAGTACAACTGTTAGGCTGGCCATACATTATACAATTTTCTTATTCAATTTCCTTCAGATTCACCTTCAACTATGTAGTGCAAGGGCCCGTCTGATTGCATAAAATTGAAAGTGTTAAGGTTTAACCTCATATTATATGGTTTTGGTAAATCTAAAGGAAACATTGTACAAAACAATTGTATTATGGCCAGCTTTAGTTAATGGAGAGCTTAGCAATGGCCAGCAAGTTTTATGAAGTGTTACACGAACTTATAGATTGGGGGTTGGGTAAGGAATCACTCAAAAGCAAAAACCCCCATAAAAACCACACCATTGCCTTTTACTAGCTTGCCTATCAACCTAATCCAAGCGCTTCTGTGTTATCTGAACCACACAGACAGAAAAAAAGAGTTCTGATGTTACTCGGACTTCAGTGATTGCATACTTCCAGGTCAGTGACCCACGTAATATTGCAGTAAATGCTGACAACCAGCATTTTCAGAAGGAGACCAGCAATGTAGCCTACTTAAGAATAGCTCATTGTAATCTAAAAAAAAAATAAGGTAATAAAACTCAGCACAATGTGCCATTTGTCTGCCAAATACTATGACGTCAGTAACACAGAAATATACTGAAGATGAAAATACTCCTGGTATTTATGGTTCATCGTTAACCACTTGCCCTCCAGAGAATTTATGCCCCTTCCTGACCAGGCCATTATGTGTTATGGTGCCACGTTACTTTACAATTGCGCGGTCATGCAACACTGTATCCAAAAGGAAATTCATGTCCTTTTTTTCCCCCATGAATTGAGCTTCCTTTTTGTGGTATTTGATCGCCTCTGCGTTTTGGGTTTTTTTTGCGCAAAAAAAAAAAAACTGACAATTTTGAGAAAAAAATATATATTTTTGACTTTTTTTCTATTAAACACATCCAGTAAAGTTTAAAAAAGAAAAAAAAAAACATTTAAATTAATTGGTTTATGGGAAAGTTATAGCGTTTACAAATGGCGGTATATATACTAGGATTTTTTTTTTTGATCAAAGGGTTAACTGTGCCGTTTTACCATAAGCCGTGTGTGCTTTTACAGTCCCCCCCATATCGGAGATGCTCGATAATCACTAGGCACCGGCGAGTAATCACAGGCTGGGACCCAGTGATTGACAGCCATGGCCGCGAATGGTGGCACGGGTAGGGCACACACGCGCCCCCCCATCCACAAATGCAAAATCACATACATCTATCTACACACACACAGACGTGATTTTGCGCACCCGTGCCGCCCTGTAGAAGTATTTCTGCTATAGGGTGGATGGGCAGCGGTTAATATGGTGAATATATGACTCAAACAAGCCATGTGATTTCAGCCAGACCCATCAGTATAGCGAGCCAAGCACACAGAGAAAAAAAGGATAGATCAATGCCTAGCTTTCAGGGTCAGTTCTCACCAGCCAATGAGATCAACACAGTGATTATTATTATACAGGATTTATATAGCACCAACAGTTTGCTCAGCACTTTACAATATAACGGGAGACAATACAGCAACAATACAGTTCAATACAAGAGGGATTTGAGGGCCCTGCTCCTTGGAGCTTACAATCTAGGAGATGCTTTGAGCTTGGTCAATTACACCTTTTTGTTTTTCTTTTTAAACAAAACTTTAGACTACTTTCACACTGCTACCTTTCAAAAAATGCACATGCATTTTTACAGCATTCCCAATGAGTTCTGCACCTGTGATAAAAAATTGCCAAGAAACATGCCAAAAAAACGCAACCACAGGTACGTATTTGATGTGTTTTCCATTCATTTCAACGGGAGGTGCAAATTTGCTGTGGTTCCTTTTCTGCGCCAAAAATACAGCAAGCAGGATATGCAACAGACCCACAACTGACCAATGTGAAGATTTCCATAGGACTTCATGGTCATGTTATTTTCTTTTTTTTCACAAGGATCAGTGTGAAAGTAGCCTGAGAGGTCACAAAGACACTTCAGCCTGGGTTCACATACACGCGGTTCGGTAGATCACATGTGATTCGCACAGGAACCGCACTCCTATGCAAATCACATGCGATTTGTGTGCAGCGCGATTGGAGCCATACATTTTGTATGGCTCTAAATCGCACCGCTCCAAAAACATGCAGGACCCTTTTTTTGGGTCTGCACTAGAATCGGATCGCACAAGTACTCACACCGCTAAGCTGTTAGGACTTGTAGTTTCTCTTTCACAGAACACAGTGAATGAGTGATGTGGCCAGGCAGGCCCCCCCCCCCTAGCAGTCAAGGGGGGGCTGGCCTGATCACAACATGTAACACCAGGAATATGGGTGTAACATTGTTTGAAAGGTGAACTTATCCTTTAACAAAAGCTTTGTTTAGGTAGGGCTATGTAAACAAAGCTTTTGTTAAAGGACAAGGCAACACCACCCCCCTCCTTCCCTCTCACCTTGTCTACTTTTGGTCAATCCAGTTCCTGCTGGGGAATTCCTATGAAAATGAGTGGAATTTAAAAACACCAGGACTACAAATCTACACTGGTTATTACATGCTGTATCATTGAACAGAAGATCTGTTCTTTTTATACTGGATTTCTCACAGCCTATGAAACACACTTTGCCTTTTCCTGTATACCCAACCGGAATGTAGAATTGAAATAAAAGAAATACACACACACACACACACACGTCTAATCCACATATACACACATATACACACACACTGTATAGAACTGTATACTAAGTCAAAGCCATTTTATTTTAACCTGCATGTTGTGTTGCAGTTTTCGGAATCAAAACATAGCATTCTTAACCACAAAAAGGTAAGCTCCCAAGGTATGCAGAGCAGTCATGGTAGTGGAAGGGATATTCTGCAAGCCATCATTGTGGCAATAACCTGCCTGTATACCCCAATATAACAGGATTCTGCCAGCAGTCCCAGTGCAGACCTGTGAGACTCACTCCTGAATCCTTCATGTGGAAATCTATAGCTGCAAGCCTGCCATGTCTGATCAGAACTGGGTCACAGCTGTGCCTTCTATACAGACAGCACACAGGAAACATCAAAAGTGGAATAGCAGTGCACAGGAACCAATCAGCTCCTACCTACCGTTTGTTCAGATAACCTTTGTAAATGAAAGACAGAAGCCGATTGGTTGCCGTGCTCAGCTGCCTCAGTTTTGATACACTCTTCCAATGAATGGAGTTTTGATACACTCTTCCAATGAATGGAGGCCATGGCTGAGATTCCATGGCGCACAGATACTATGTAAACAGATAGGATGACCTGTTGTATTTGCTCAGTTCTATGGAGATCACCGTGTCACTAGCTTGCAATGACTGATGGGGACACACACATACAGCGATGTTTGGGGAAGCTAGTTATCACCTTGGAACGTTCTAGATTCCAGCCAAGTGACGTCAAAGCCCGAACACCAATACACAGCTGATAGGAGGGAGCCGCCATCACCATACAGTACCATGGTCTCCTCAGTGTCTGTGTACAGCGGACACACCCACCCCCATACAATGCACGGCGTAATCACATCTCCTTATCAGCAGGCAGGGAACCTATCTCCAACACCTTATCTCCCTGAGAGCCGGACATTCCTACACATGCAGGCCAACACCCAACATACAGCAATACACGGGAACGGAGCCTTGCCTCCCGGATAAATACAACACACAGCGAGAAAACCTTACATGGAACGTTCACAGAAGGCCGCCTCCGTAAAGCTCAGGCTCCCTCACCCTCTGCTGCGCCAACCAGAAGACTGCCACCGGCACAGATGTTCTTACTTCTTATCCCAGTGACTGCTACAGAGAAACTGAAGCCTCCACAGAATGCCGACCAACCAGCTACCGCTATTCCCGCCCTTCTGCTGGAGCCAGCCAATAGCAGCTAAATGTTAGAGCCGCCGCCTCCACGACTTGGCGATTTACCAGAGAGCCGTACAGAAGGCGGGGCGGGGGTGGATCCCGTGACAGACAGTGGGCCAAACCAGTTCTCAGTGCTTATTGGATGATTGAGTCTTCAGTAACCAATAGGTGTGTAGGAGCGGCAGGTCCGACCCCCCCCCCCCCCCATGGTGTGTCTTGTGTTGTGCTTTGGGTTATTTGTAATCATCACCGATCACTAGTGTTGTGGGAGAGAACATGCGACTGTGTCTGGTGCTGGCAGAGAACATGCGACTGTGTCTGGTGCTGGCAGAGAACATGCGACTGTGCCTGGTGCTGGCAGAGAACATGCGACTGTGTCTGGTGCTGGCAGAGAACATGGGACTGTGTCTGGTGCTGGCAGTGAACATGCGACTGTGCCTAGTGCTGGCAGTGAACATGTGCCTAGTGCTGGCAGTGAACATGCGACTGTGCCTAGTGCTGGCAGAGAACATGTGACTGTGTCTGGTGCTGGCAGAGAACATGCGACTGTGCCTAGTGCTGGCAGAGAACATGTGACTGTGCCTAGTGCTGGGAGTGGAGGTAGAGATATGAGAGCTCTATCATATGATTGCAGAGGGCTATGTTCTCAGGTCATGACAGCAAAATGGGTTAGTGTCAGAATTGTCCACACATTATTATTTATTATTATACAGGATGTTATATAGCACCAACAGTTTGTGCAGCACTTTACAAAATGAAGGTAGACATTACAGTTACAATACAATTTGGTACAAGAGGAAACAGAGGGCCCGGCTCGTTAGAGTTTACAATCTAGGAGGGAGGGTTGAGTGATATAAAAGGTAATAGCTGTAGGGGGATGAGCTGATGGAGGAAATAAATTGCAGTTTACTAGGTAGAAGCAGGATAGGCTTCTTTGAAGAGAACAGTTTTCAGGGATTGTCTAAAGGTGGATAGATTAGGAGACAGCCGGAGCGGTTGGGGTAGAGAGAAGCTTGGGAGAAATCCTGGAGGCGAGCATGGGAGGAGGTGACACGGGAACTGGAGAGCAGAAGGCCTTGGGAGGATCGGAGAAAGCGGTTTGATTGATATTTTGAGACCAGGTGGTGATGTAGCTGGGGGCAGAGTTGTGGATGGCTTTGTAAATTGTTAGTATTTTGAATTTAATTCATTGGGCCAGTGGAGGGATTGGCAGAGAGGGGTAGCAGACACTGAACGGTTGGTAAGATGGATGAGCTTGGCAGCAGTATTCATGATGGATTGGAGGGGAGGTTGCCTATGTAAAGGTAAGCCAATGAGGAGGGAGTTGCAGTAGTCGAGAGGTTACCAGGGAGTGAATTAGGAGCTTTGTGCTATCATTGGTTAAGAAGGGGCATATTCTGGAGATGCTTCAGACGTTGAGGCAGCATGATTTGGACAGGGATTGGATGTTGGCCTGAAAGGATAGTTCAGAATCCAGGGTTACCCCTAGCACTTTGGCATGCAGGGCTGGGTTAATAGTGGTGCTACTGATCCTGACCCCTGACCGAGAAATCAGGGGAAGAGGCGCGTGGGGGAGGAAATATTATGAGCTCAGTTTTGGATAGATTGAGTTTTAGGAAGTGGAGTGACATTGTATGTTATATTGTAAAGCGCTGAGCAAACTGTTGGTGCTATATAAATCCTGGATAATATCAATAATAATATGTGTGCGTGTATAAACACACACCACCCCCCCCCCCCCCCCCCCAGAATGCCCACTCTGCAACAAACACCTTTATTCCTGACCTCTTTGTCACTCTTTTAATCTGCTTTCTGTCACCAAGACCTGGCTTCATAAATCTGACACTGCTTCTTTTGTTTCCCAGTGGATGCAAGGTGGTGGATTGGGAATCCTTCCCCACAGAGCACCTTTCATTTTCTTCACTCTCCTTCCTCTCTGTCCCTCTTATCTTTTGAAGCTCACTGTATACCATCTATTTATTCCAATTTCTTTAAGAACTGCGATCTACCTGCCCCAGGACCAGTATCAACTTTCCTTGATGACTTTTCTGCTTGGCTACCCTATTTTCTCTCTTCTTTTCTGTCCTGCCCAAATCTCACCCCTGACAAAATATCACCCCCGTCCTGCCCCAATCTGTTGTCTGCAATAGATCCCTGTCTTCTGCCCTTCCCAAACTCACCCCTTTCACTACACACAGAATCAGGCCTTGACCCCTACAACCCTGGCAAACAGGTGACACCAGAAGTCTCAAAAAATGCAGAAGTCTCTTGAGCGTCTGTGGTGTAAGACTCGCAGAGACAACAACTGTCAGGAATGGACTCGCCAATGGTGGTGGGACTCACCTGCCTTGTAGGCTGCAGTACCAGGGCTGGCCAGCGGGTGCTCTCAGCAACCAGAAGCTCACTCCTGCAATCAGCCATCACCTGAGGCTGATTGCAGGAGGTGTATTTAAGGAATGGCCAGACCTGCAGTCAGTGCCTTGGTGTTTGTTTCCCATGTGCCCTGTTTCCTGTCTCCTGCCTGCTCGACTCTCCTGCTTGACTCTGACAGAACTCCGCCTGCACTGACCCCGGCTATTCCTGACCATTCTTCTGCCTGCTCCCGTTGTACCTTTCTGCCTGATTGTTCCTGACCCGGCCTGCCTGACCACTCCACCTCTCCAGCCCTGACTACACCTGTACCTATTAGTTTAAGGTTTGTTTTATTTTCCACTGTGTTTGTTTAATTTGTGCAGCTCATAATAAATATTATTATTATTTAATAATTTCTGAAGCCTGCTGTTTCCCTGTGTCAGTCCACACATCTCTGGTCATACCCGGATCCCTGACATTACACTAAGGCCATTCCTGACCAGAAGTGGCTGCACAGGGAAGCCATCTTGGCTTATTGTTGTGAAGGATGTATCCGGAGGAGGTTATATACTTGTGTCTGCTAGTCTTTGATGACAAAGAATATGCCTATGAGACTCTGCAGAAGTATACCAGGGATCAGCTACTAGAATGCATAGGGGTCGCGCATTCCCTGGTAGATCAGGGCACAGAGTTCTCTGAGGTGAAACCATTAACTCAGGCTTGTGTGGAGTTGGCTTCAGCTAGTACCCCTGAAAGCAGGGATGACTTTTTTCCCCCATTCAGTGCAGATCAAGTGGAATCGCTGGTATGGTTGTTGGAGGAGGATCCAGCTTACTTCCATGAGCATTATGCAGCTTGTCCATCACATGTGCTAGTGGAGTGTATAGACGCAGTGCAGTCTTTGGACAGACAGGCTATGTGTAAGCGGAGTTGTGTTCAACCCATACTACAGTCCTGGGCAGACTTGTTACACCCAGCCTCAGTCAGCTTGCAACAAACCAGTCCTGCTTCACATCATTCCTCTGCTCAAAGCTCTCTTCCTGCATTCCCGACAATGACAGCCCCAATGACAGCCCAGTATACCCTGCTAGCTACCACATGTCAGTACCCTGCTCCCACTCGCTGCACCTATCCTGCCTTTAACCCTGTAAAGAAGTCCTCTGTAGCAACTGCTCCTTCCTCTGTTCCATCCTCCAGCTCTTCTCTGCCTACAGCTGCTCTATCCATTTACAAACCTGCGCTTACTTACAGTGCTCCAGTAACTAAAACCAGGAAAAGGCGAAAATTCTTTCCAACCAGTACCATCCTACCAGTATCCAAACCGGTCAGCCTGCCGTCTGTGAACCCGCCTTCCGTTGTTCAGCCTGATGCCCTGATGCCTGATGACCCAGTATACGCTACCCAGCCTGATGACCCGGTCCGGCCTGATGACCCGGTCCGGCCTGATGATCCTACCCAGCCTGATGATCCTATCCAGCTTGATGATCTGGTGCCCGCTACCCAGCCTGATGACCCGATCCAGCCTGATGGCCTGATGACCCGATCCAGCCTGATGACCCGGTGTTCGTGATCCAGCCTGATGACCCGATCCAGCCTGATGACCCGATCCAGCCTGATGACCCGATCCAGCTTGATGACCTGGTGCCCGCTACCCAGCCTGATGGCCCGATCCAGCCTGATGACCCGATCCAGCCTGATGACCCAATCCAGCTTGATGATCCTATCCAGCTTGATGACCTGGTGCCTGATACCCAGCCTGATGGCCCGATCCAGCCTGATGATCCGGCCCAGCCTGATGACCCGGTGTTCGTGATCCAGCCTGATGACCCGATCCAGCCTGGTGCCTCGGTGCCCGTGGTCCGGCCTGGTGCCTCGGTGCCCGTGGTCCGGCCTGGTGCCTCGGTGCCCGTGGTCCGGCCTGGTGCCTGCTGTTCTGCCAGATAACTCGGTGCCCGCTGTCGTGCCAGATGACTCGGTGCCTGCTGTCGTGCCAGATGACTCGGTGCCCGTTTTCATGCCAGATGACTCGGTGCCCGCTGTCGCGCCAAATGAATCGGAGCGCTGTTCTGCCAGATTACTTGGTGCCCGCTGTCGTGCCATTTGACCCGGTGCCCGCTGTCGTGCCATTTGACCCGGTGCCCGCTGTCGTGCCAGTTGACCCGGTGCCCGCTGTCGTGCCAGTTGACTCGGTGCCTGCTGTCAAGCTTGGTGACTCGGTGCCCGCTGTTCTGCCAGATGACTCGGTGCTCGCTGTTCTGCCAGATGACTCGGTGCCCGCTGTCGAGCTTGGTGACTCGGTGCCCGCTGTCGAGCTTGGTGACTCGGTGCCCGCTGTCGTGCCAGATGACTCGGTGCCCGCTGTCCTGCCAGATGACTCGGTGCCTGCTGTCGAGCCTGATGGCCCGGTGCCTGCTGCCTCGCCTGATGGCCCGGTGCCTGCTGCCTCGCCTGATGGCCCGGTGCCTGCTGCTCCACCTGATGGCCCGGTGCCTGCTGCTCCGCCTGATGGCCGGTGCCTACTGCTCCTCCTGATGGCCTGGTGCCTGCTGCTCCTCCTGATGGCCCGGTGCCTGCTTCTCCTCCTGATGGCCCGGTGCCTGCTGCTCCGCCTGCTGGCCCGGTGCCTGCTGCTCCGCGTGATGGCCCGGTGCCTGCTGCTCCGCCTGACGTGCCTCTGTCTGCTGCCCAGCCTGACGTGCCTCCGTCCGCTGCCCAGCCTGATGTGCCTTCATCCGCTGCCCAGCCTGATGTGCCTCCGTCCGCTGCCCAGCCTGACGTGCCTCCGTCCGCTGCCCAGCCTGACGTGCAAGCCCCTGATATTCAGCCAGTTACCTGACCTGGGCGGTGGAACATTTTGCCCACTAAGGACTGTTTGGAGCATCCTGAGGCTGCTCCTGGGGGGGGGGGGGTACTGTCAGGAATGGACTCGCCAATAGTGGTGTGACTCACCTGCCTTGTGGGCTGCAGTACCAGGGCTGGCCAGCGGGTGATCTCAGCAACCAGAAGCTCACTTCTGCAATCAGCCATCACCTGAGGCTGATTGCAGGAGGTGTATTTAAGGAATGGCCAGACCTGCAGTCAGTGCCTTGGTGTTTGTTTCCCATGTGCCCTGTTTCCTGTATCCTGTCTCCTGCCTGCTCGACTCTCCTGCTTGACTCTGACAGAACTCCGCCTGCACTGACCCCGGCTATTCCTGACCATTCTTCTGCCTGCTCCCGTTGTACCTTTCTGCCTGATTGTTCCTGACCCGGCCTGCCTGACCACTCCACCTCTCCAGCCCTGACTACACCTGTACCTATTAGTTTAAGGTTTGTTTTATTTTCCACTGTGTTTGTTTAATTTTGTGCAGCTCATAATAAATATTATTATTATTTAATAATTTCTGAAGCCTGCTGTTTCCCTGTGTCAGTTCACACATCTCTGGTCATACCCGAATCCCTGACAACAACCAACATAAAACTGCCCTCCAAAAATACAATTCTTACCTTCACACTGCCAAGCAGACCTATTTTATCATTCTCATTAACACCTTCTCATCCAATCCCTGTCAACTCTTCTCCACCTTTAACTCTCTACTTTGTCCTCCACCACCTCCACCCACTAATTCACTCATTGCCCAGGAGATCGGCAATCAATTAAAAAAATAAGATTGATGCAATTTTTGAGGAAATCTCCACTCAACAGCTATTTCCCCCACTTAACACCCCCTGCCCACAGGTACACTCAACACTTCTCTTATTCAACCTTTCTGCTAGAGACGAGGTTGCTAAACTTTTTTCTAATGCCCATCTAACCACCTGTCCCCTGGACCCTGTTCCCTTTCAAATACTGCGGTCAACCTCTGGCTCTATCCTACACTCTCTAACTCACATCTTCAATCTATCCCTCTCTTCTGGCATCTTCCCCAACTCTCTAAAACATGCAATAGTCACCCCCATACTTAAAAATCCTTCCTTGGACCCCACCAATGTTAACAACCTACGCCCCATCTCCTTGCTCCCCTTTTCCTCCCAACTCCTTGAACGACTGGTCTACAATCCACTGAGAGACCACCTCATTAGGATTTCACCCTCAACACAACACAGAAACTTCTCTCCGAAAACTCAGAAGTGATTTACTAATAGCTAAAACCAATGGACACTATTCTGTACTCCTACTTCTGGACCTTTCAGCTGCCTTTGATAAAGTTGACCACCCCCTCCTCTTCAAAATACTTTACTCCTTTGGTCTCTGTGACTGGTCTCTTCATTGGTTCTCATCCTACCTATCTCACCGCATCTTCATTGTCACTTACAATTCTACTTCCTCCTCTCATCTTCCTTTCTCTGACTCCCAAGTCTCCTAAGGTTCTGTTCTTGGACCTCTCTAATTCTCAATCTACACCTCCTCCCTGGGTTAGCTGATAGCCTCCCATGGCTTTCGATATAATTTCTACACTGACGACACCCAAAGCTATCTCTACCCCTCAGTTCACAACATCAGTCTCCTCAAGCAATCACTAACTAACTGATCAACACATCAGTATGGATGTCACACCATTTCCTCAAACTTAATCTATCCAAAACTGAGCTCTTAATATATCCTCCCCTACAAGATCCTTGCCCTGACTTCTCTGTCAAGATCTACTCTGTCCACTTTTAGGCGATCTCTGAAAATTTTTCTCTTCAGAGAAGCCTGTCCTGCCTCCACATAACAACTGTATTTTTATTTTCTTCATCAGCTCACCCTCCTACCTTTTGTATTACTTGACCCTCCCCTTTTAGATTGTAAGCTCTAACGAGCATGGCCCTCTGATTCCTCCTGTATTGAATTGAATTGTATTGTAACTGTACTGTTTGCCCTCATGTTGTAAAGCGCTGCACAAACTGTTAACACTATAAATATCCTGTATAATAATAATTCACAGGCAAGCTGCAATTGTCAAGCCACCAGTGACCGACATTAATGCTCAGAAGAGGAGAGAGTGGTGCAACACCCATAAATAATGCACTATCGATCAATAGAAAACTGTAATATGGTCTGATGAATCGAGCTTCACACTGTTCCCAACCACCAGACATGTTTATGTGTGGCAAACACCATCCCAAGCTTATGACCAGGACTGTCTTGTGCCTACAGTAAAGCATGGTGGCAGAATAATCATGGTTTGAGCAGCCATATCTTGGTATTCTGCAGGTCCCACCATCACCTTGAAAGGTAGAGTCACTGCCAGCAACAATGTACAAATTTTAGCCGAATGTGTGCACCCCATGGTGCAGACATTATTTCCTGCAGATGATACTGTTCTAATTCACTCAGCTGGTGTTGTCTGATCGTGGTTTGATGAGCATGCAGCCAAAGTCTCGCACCTTCCCTGGGTGCTGCGGTTGCTGGACCTCAATATCATACAGCCACTATGGTCAATTATGGAGAAGAAGGTCCAGGCTCATTTTCTGCCTCCATTAATTCTGTGAGAACGATTTTTGCATGAAGAGTGGTGTCAGATTCCATTAACCACCATCCAAGAGTTAGTAAATGTGTCAATTCCAATGAAAATTCAGGTCATCTTGGATGCCAAAGGAGGTCCAACACCATATTAGGTAACAATGTCATTCTTTCACCTGGTGTTTCCATAACATTGTCCAACCCCTGAATATACACAGGGTTTGGACCACTGACAAGTAAAACAAATAATATAGATTATCTCATTACAAATGGCATCTGAAATCCAGCGGGATACAGTATATAGGCAGAAAGTAAATATGTTGTCCCTGAAACTGATGTGTTGAAAGCAGAACAAATGGGCATCACAGCACGTAGTGCATAGGGTTTCATAGTCACAAACCAATCAGGGTGCTCATGCTGACCCATGTCCATAGCCAAAAATGCCTATAATGGGCATGCGAGCATCAGAACTGGACCTGGAACTGGAAGAAGGTGCCCTGGTATGATGAATTATGTGGATGGCTGAGTGTGTGTGTCACTTACAAGGGAAGAGATGGCACCTGGATACAGTATAGGAAGAAGGCAAGCCAGCTGAGGCAGTGTGATGCTTTAGAAAATGTTCTTCTGGGAAAAATGGTTTGAGTTACACAACAAAGAGTTTGAAGTGTTTATTTGGCCTCCAAATTCACCAAATCTAATCAAGCATCTGTACGATGTGCTGTACAAATAAATCCAATCCATGGAGGCCCCACCTCACAATTTACAGAACCTAAAGGATCTGCTACTGACAGTTTGGTGTAGACATGTGCATTTCGTTTTGTTACAAATTGTTTTTCGGATGCAAATTTCATTTTTGGAGATTCAGATGTATACGAATTTCTAAATGGATGTAGTAATGAATGTCAACGAATCCAAAAAAAAGTTAAGAAATTACTATTAATTTCATTTGTTTCATTCAGATGATGTCACATGATGCAATAGTAAATTGGGTCCATGGGGAAATGAATGAAATTTTCAAATTTGTTTGATAATTCGAATTTAGATGAGGAATGGATTTGAATTTCGTTCCATTCATTAATTCGGATACACATGACACCAGTCGATATTGTCAAACCAGCTCATGCCATTTCTCTTGGTGGGTTGGGCTAGCGTCTGAAAAGATCAAATCCTTCTGATATTGAATATATAGCAATCTTCCAGAGAAAACTGCAACATTTTTCAAGTCCATCCGGACCAACAAATAAACGAAACAAATGCCGAAGATACAAAACGAATTCTGAAAATAAATTGGTTTAACATAGCGAATATGACTAAATGACATTCTTCAAGAAGCGAGTGCATCCAAAACTAAAAGGCAAATTCTGGCATGCACATGCCTAGTTTGATGCCAGATATCACAACATACCTTCAGGGGTCTAGTGGCAGGGCTGTTTTGTGGCAAAAGGGGGACCTACTCAATATTAGGTGGGTGATCATAAAGTTATGGATGCTCTATATGTTTGTGGTCAGTAGGAAGAATACCCCTCCTTACATTGGTGGCCAGTGGGAGTAATGTCCCTTTACATTGGTGGTCAGTGGGAAGAATGGCCCCTTTCATTGATATTCAATAGGAAAAATGCACCCCTTGCATTGGTATTCAGTAGGAAACATTCCCCCCTTACATTGATTGTCAGAAGGAAGAATGCCCCCCAACCTTTCACCTTTTACATTGGTGGTTAGTAGGAAGCATGGCCCCTTTACATTGGGATTCAGCAAGAAGAAGACCCCCCTCCCTTTCATTGGTAGTCAGAGGGAAAATGTCCCCTTTACAATAGTGGTAAGTAGAAAACATGCCTCCCTTACATTGGTGTTCAGAAGGAAGAATGTCCCCCCCTTACAATGGGGGTAAGTAGGAATAATGCCCCAATTACATTAATGGTTGGTAGATAGCATGTCCCCCTTACATTGGTGGGCAGTAAAAAGAATGCCCCCCTTAAACTGGTGGTCAGAAGGAAGAATGTCCACCCTACAATGGTGGTTAATAGGAAGAATATTCCCTCACACCGTTAGTCAGCAGGAGGAATGCAACCCTTACAGTGATGATTAGTGATGATCTGCCAAGTGGCTTTGGACCATGAACCATGCAAGCACCATCGAATGGAAGGTCAATCAATCGCAATATGCATATGCTCATACTCCCTTTTGGATTGT